ATATCTAAATCATGTGGTTGATGAAGAAAGATATCCTTATCTAAATTTCTGACCTTTAAAACTAGATCCATATTCCACTTTGATCCTCAACATTTCCAAAAAGCAATCAAAAACAATTTTTGCCAACTCGTTTTCGGTACAAGGAACACTCTCAAAAGTATTTGGATTGCAAGTCAAATGTGTCCAAAATTTGATTTTGCTGTTCATATTGAATTCTGGATATGTAGCAGAATTTTCTTGTGGACAAACAATCACCATCATTCTAAGCTGGTGACCTAAAATTGCACAAAAACTTAAATCATATTTGATTTTCGCTATTAAAAAGATTCGATTGAATTATGTTTATTTCATACCTTGTATTTTGGCAAGCATCTCATTGATATTGTCCTGTAAAGACGTGTCACTGCAAATTACAATTATGTTTGGGTCGCATGCATGAGTGGAATGCATCATTCTATTTTCTAAATCTGGATGTAAAGGGAAAAATCCATACATTTTTAAGAAACTTGTTACTGCTCTTTTTGCAGATGCCTCGTTGTTTAAGTAAACAACTTCTATCATATCTAAAAGAAAATGATATTAACTATAAGATAACCGTAAGATAAGCAAATTAAATTTTTATGCATGTACGATATTATATTAAAAAAATGAATATATTTATTTTGCTTAAAAATATAACTAAGAGTTTGTATGCATAGTACTGCAAAATCACATATTTTCGTGGGGTCAAATTTTCGTGGTGTGAAGAAAAAATTGTTGGTTAGTGGGGATTTGATTTCGTGGGTGAATAACTTTTATTAGTTGTACATATGAAAATTTACTTTTCGTTTTCGGCTTGAATTCGTAGGTCTCTTCATACGTCTAAAACAACGGAAATTAAACTCCAACGAAAATTAGTGATTTAACAGTATATCGATAAAAAAGGCAAATGAATATAGAAAACCCTTTAAGCTAAAGATTAATTAACGAATATTGGAATGAAATCCTTTATACTTGCATGTCAGTAACATATAAATGAACTATACCAAGAAGCATATGATTGCAAGATATCTTAGAATGCATCTTGCTTCAACGGTTTGAACGTATTTTGTATATCTGAGGGAAAGGAAAAAAAAACTTTGAACGTAGGAATTTGGAGATCATAAAATAATCTTTTGTTTGGAATTCAGAAATTCGAGCCCAGGTAAGAAAACCTGAATATAATTCAAATCCTGTTTCAGGTTAAAAAAAAAATCATGACTCAGTTTAATTGATGACATCATTTATATTATCATATGAAGTTGACTAAAATATTATAATAGTTCCTTTTTAAATGTCAGATCAATACAGGGTCATTAGATAGCCCTTTAAGAATATAAATTAAAGTTTATCACTGTTCGTTACATTTGCCTAAAAACACAAAAAAACTTACTAAAATAAACCTTACGGGAATTTTGATTAATATATATGGATTAATTATTAACATAAAAAAAGTTAGAAATGATTCTTCAAAACTGAGATAAACTTAAACTGTGATGAACGGACAGATGGACAGTAAAACGGAAGGGGAACATGACAAATTCCTTATGTCCAAATGTATACCTGCCACTATAAACTGTCTTAAAAAATTAAGATTTTATTTTTAAAAAAATGCTGCTTTACCTGAGAGAGAATGTGATGTCGGTTCTTGAAGTAATGACATATTGCAGCAGTTCTGTGTCAAGAAGAAAAATAATGCCACTCCGTTTTAAAATCCCAATGGAGAAATAGTTCTTAAATAGAGCGTTTTATGCACGTTTTTTCAGTGAACTTGGGGCATTTTTTAAATACTTTTATACATATAACCTCCTGGAATAAAAAAAGTTCATTTATATTATTTTATATATTTTTATTTTATTAGCTCACCTGAGCCGAAGGCTCAAATGAGCTTTTCTGATCAAAATTAGTCCGTTGTCTGTCGTCGTTGTCGTCGTAAACTTTTCACATTTTTCATCTTTCTTCTTAAGAATCATTCAGCGAGTATTCTTGGGTAAGGGGGATTCAAGTTTGTTCAAATGAATGACCATGGTTTCTTCCTAAGGGAAATAATTATTAATTAGTGAAAAATTAATGGCATCATTTAAAAATCTTTTTCTAAAGACCCACCGGAACAGGAAAGATGAAACTCATGTGGAAGCATCCTCCGTTTAGTTTAGTTTCAAGTTTGTTCAAGTCATGTCCCTTGGGAGTAGGATGGGGTCACAGGGGTATCAAAGTTTAACATAGGAATACATAGGAAAAATCTTTAAAAACATCTTGTCAAGAAGAGTCATGATTGGTGATAGTTATAATGAAACATCCTCTAGTTGTGTAGATTCAGATTTGTTCAAATTATGACTCAGGGTTAGCGTGAAGAAGAACAAGACTAAGTTTGACGGGGTTAGAAATGCGCTGTCTGATTGGCCTCATGCAAGTTTGCGTGAACCAATCAAAATTATTTTTGTTTATTTAACCTGAACCTGAAACAAAAAAAGCCAGTTATAGTCCCAAGGATGACCTCTTTATATTTTAATAGTTGTCAGTGAGTAATATTGAATTGATTACCGACTTCCAATAGTACCTCGAATTCTCTGTTGAATTCGTTTACTCTGATTGGCCAATAGCAAAGGTCAGCAGAGTTCAAAACGTGTAATCTCACTAGATGGCGTGATAGAAAACTTAATTAGTCTATTCGGTCACGAATTTATGTGGAGCGCAGTGGATTAGAAACCCTAGACTTAGGAAGATGGGTTATATTGAAACATCCTCTCTGGTAGTGTAGATTCAAGTATGTTCAAATCATGATCATTGTGGCAAGGGTAGGGCCATAATAGGTGATCAAAATTTTAAGAACGTTCACTTTGAAATTTTTTTTTAGATTTCTTCTTCTTGATAATAGCAAAGCTGTGATTGTTCTTATTTATTTTGAAGCAACCTTAAATGATTAGAGTAGATTCAAGTTTGTTCAAAAGATGACCCCCGGGATAGAGTGGGGCAACAATGGGCTATCAATTTTTTACCTAGGGATACATAGAAAATATCGTTAAAATTCTTCACAAAAACAACAAATCCATGATTGATCATCAATATAAAAGCATCAAAAAAGGTAATGTAGATTGATTTTTTTTTTCAAATCATGGCCATCCAGGAGAAAAGAGGAGTCATAAAAGTGGTTTATAGTTATACAATGGCATATAAAGGCTATATAAATTTAAAAAAGAAATCATCTTATGAACAGCAAAGCCATTATGTATTAGTGAAAATTATCAAACCTATAATCAAAAGAATTCAGAGTAAATACTGAATTAATTTTGCGTTTACCTAGCCAGTTACTCAGGTGAGCAATGTGGCCTCTTGACCTCCTGTTTTTATTTCCCCTTCAGAGGCCCTTTCATTTCAAATAAAATTTGGAAAAGGAAGGAAAACAGTATTATGACCTGAATTTTTACCATCTTCATCATTATTGTATGAAGAAAAAAGACAAGCAATCTTTGAGAGGAAAGGTATAAATTGTTAATTATGGGGTTTAAAATATTTTTTTTTATTAAATTACTCATATACAGGTATATGCAAAAATGAACGAAACGAACATTTTGAGAACCATGGATAATTATGAGTAGAAACCTGTCACTTTCGAATAGAAAAAAGGAACAATATTGGTTTCCGTCTTTTAACTATACGCAATAAAATTATTTAGATTAAAAAGAACTAAAATAGTGTCCTAGTTATCTTTTAAAATCATATGCACAATACTCTAACAAACTTAAAACAAGATGTGTTTGTAAAACACTATGCGCCGTCGGCAACAAAGTTCAAAAATATTTTTTGAGCAGATTAATCACAGACAGGGTCACGAGGTCATTGACCTTGGTGTCATTTGGAAGAGCTTAATTATTGAAGTATGCATACCAAATATAAAGTCTCTATCTCTCATGGTTCAAAAGTTATGGTGAAAGTTCTAAAAAGCTATTTTTAGCATATAGGTCAGTCAAGGACACACGGTAATTGACCTTGATGTCATTTGAAAGAACTTCATTGGGTGGAGCATGCATACCAAAATTGACATCTCTATCTCTCATGGTTTAAAAGTTATGGCGAAGGTTAAAGTTGACAACAGACAGACAGACAAACAGATAAACAGATAAACAAACAGACAGGACAAAAAAAATATACGCCTCTAAAACATCAGAAGAAGGATCAGATGCCATGGAGGAGTGAGCATCCCCTGCCGACCAGTCACCTCTGCCTTGTGCTCCTTGTATAAATACGGGATGTATCGGGTAGGACTGAACGGGATATATCGTGTCGACATGAAAAAGGAAATAGCCATTGTTAATTAACAATACGTCGTTGATGTATATAAATGTAGAGTTGAGCAAGCAAGTGGTTTCTTTTCATCTTTAAGATTTTGGAAAAATTCTACTTTATATGAATACAAAAATAGGTCTGTTAAAATAGGGGGCACAATTTCTACCCATCTGAATTCCTATAGATTGCTGCGATAGCGATAGTTTTCAAGATCAAAGGTCCTTAAAACAATACAAAATAGGAGCAGGGCAAACACAGACCTCCAAAACATCAGAGATGGGATCACTTTAAAAAAAAATTAATTTCAGAGTTCTTGTGTGTACAATAAGAACATTTTTAACGAATAAATTTGCAAATTACCAATGTCAAGGTTAGTAATATGACGAGTTCCATTTTTTATTTAAATAGCACCTGTCAATGATATCAAATAGACTGGACTTAATGGTTGTGTATAAAAATGAAAGTTTTTAAGCTGTTTTTTGGGAAATTCTGGTGATTTCAAATTGTCCGAAAATTCCTTTTTTAGTTTATATGGAGAATAATACATACTTTTTGCATATCACTTCTCGTATCAGACAGAGGGCCGAAGGCCCGAGGGCTGATACGGAATGTGATGTGGAAAAGGGTATGTTTTATTATGTTTAAATTATATAATCTTATTGATGTTTATTATATAATTCTTATTATTATTATTTTATGTTTCTGAATATGAAACGAATTCAAATCTGAAAATGAATATGAAACAAATCTGAATCGGAGGGATTCCGATCCCGGTTTGAATATACTCAAAATAGAATTATTTCTAAATATTGACATTCGCTGTGTTTTTCTACAAAGCCAACTGTGAAACTGATTTGAAAACCATTGTCATGTACACTCACGCTTAGAAATATACACGTAGAAACGTGCATTACCGTGACGTCACAATGAGTCTGCAGCGACGTTGGTGAAATGCAACGATATAGGACAGCGAAAAATTCTAATATTGAGTACATTTTTGTTGCTCATTAACATGTAAAATGGAAATATAAGGAATGTTTTTAAGTTTGGTGTGAATTATTTGTGTGTGAATCACACAGACTTGCACGTAGGTATATTTTTCATAAAGCGCTAGCGCGCTTCATGAAATATGCCTACGTGACAAGGGGGGCATAGAATATTAATAAACTCCAAGGCAGGTGTGAAATGTTTTTCCTATCCATGTTTGTTTGTTTTTTTTGCAATTATCTTCAAGCAAATTACGAGGGGCACGTGTTTCTAAGGTGGGGGTGGGAGCCGGGGGGGGGGGGTTGGGGGGGGGGGTTGAGAAGTTCATACTTGTTTGCTTATAACATACAATTTAATAATTTAAAAAAATTGGGGGGGGGGGGTCTACTTTGACAGTTCCCTCACCTGATCGCTACTAATCGGCTTCTCTGTTCAAGACGTTGAAATTAATGATAAGATACCAGGTCTGCAAGAGTTCGGAGAGACGAGGCCAGTCTCTCACTCTTTCTATTATATACTTCACAATATAAACCGATCAAAATTACAGTTTGTCCTTAATATACAAATTTTGTGTTTTAGTTTTAGACTCGTTAAGATTTTTTTTGTTCTGTTGCTCCGATATTGCAGTTGCATTCTATAGATAATATATATTACATACCTAATGTAGTAATTAGTATGTTATAAATATATACGAAACCAACCAGTTCTGTATTATTCTATTTTAAACTTCGTTAGATCTTCGTTACTAATAAGAAATGTGTTCAGTTGCTCAATGAAGACAGAAGGAGGCAGGCAAAACACTGCGACGTGGGAAAAACTTTAAAGCTTTTTACTAAACGTTATAACAAGTTATGCCAATCAAGGACATTTTTAGAGAAATTAATGAAAGGAAGCGTAGGCTATAAACCAGAAACAAATATGAACTTCCCTCCCTTGGGAAACACGTCCCCTCGTAATTTGGTCGAAGAGAATTACAAAAACACACAAACATGGATAGGTTTATCACACCTGCCTATGGAAGTGTATTAATCCCCCCCCTCCCCCGTTCATCGCCTCCTAAGCAAAATCCCTGGTTCACCTTTGACACTTCAAACAAACTCCTTAGCCCAACAGAAAAAAAATAGATGTAGCTAACTTGATAGACTCTTATTTTTTCACTTTGATAAATCCATATGGTAATTCGACTTATTTCATGCAGGATATTTTTTGTTGTATGTGTATGTGTGTGTAGGGGGGGATTACAAACACATATTAGATGTTTTATACGGGTTATTAATTGATATACCAAGGACAAATCATCAGTAATCATATTCTCAGTGTATGATTTAGAAATAAGTCTATTTTGAATATTTTCAAACCGGGATCGGAATCCCTCCGATTCAGATTCGTTTCATATTTCATTTTCAGATTCGTATTCGTTTCATGTTCAGAAAAATCACAAACAAAATACGGAACACTTTAAGTTGAGAAGAAAATAAGAAAATAAAAATGCACGTACTTCTTACAATCTACAGAGTCTATTGTTTCATATGGTTTGGGTTTGTTTCTACACGACTCTATTTTAGATGTCCCCGATCCGTAATTTGAAAATAACATTATTTGTCAATTAGATTAAACGTATATTCAAAAAGTTAAAATTAAGAGAATGAAGTAACCCCCAAAATATGTTTATGATCATGAGCACTGTTTTTGAGGTGTAATTTACTAAGGGCGTGATATTGAACCGTCTCAGCTCTGCAAATCCATATCAGCCCTGCAGGGCTGATACGGCTATTGTGTCGTCAAACATATCGCATATGCAAAAATCCTGTATTTATTACTAAGAATGTAATAAATCATAAATTTGTTTCATTGTAGGTCTCATTTCCAAGTAACTATAAGCCCTATGTTGACCAAACTTGCACATATGATACATCTAAGGGTGCACACTACCAGGCTTGCTTCGGATGCTGAATCTGACCTACATTTTTCGGATGAGTGAATAGGTGAAAGTATTATTTACAAGATACTATGATCCCTATAATGACCAAATTTGCATGGGTGGTACATCTTAGGATACATACTTAGTCTACCATACTTAGTCTACCAGATTTGCTTTGGATGCTGAATCTGACCTACATTTTCCGGACGAGTGAATAGGTTAAAGTGTTTGGTACAGGTTTCATTTCCAAGTTACTATGAGCCCTATAACGACTAAACTTGTATGGATGATACATCTTAGGATGCAAACTACCAGACTTGCTTCGTCCTACATTTTCTGGATGAATAAACAGGTTAAAGTTTTTGGTGCAGGTTTTAATTTCCTAGTTATGTTCCCCAAACGAAGTTTGGGAACATATTGTTTTTACTCTGTTTCTTATTATTAAGGTCCTCCGTCTTCTCGGAAAACCCTATAGTTATTCTACTGTTTCTTATTTTTCTTTTTATTATTATT